CCCCACTGAGCATTTCACATTCATTCACATCTGAAAAATAAAGTGTAACATTAACCCAAACTTCCTTCATTGACTTTTGTTTTGCTCTATTAACTTCAACAATGAAATCGCCATCATCATCATCATCATCATCATCATCATCATCATCATCATCATCATCATCAAAAGGATTTATCATTCTTCTGCTTCTGTATCAGTGTTATCAACTGGGGAACTGAACACATTTTTAAAGTATGTTTGTATTTAGAGTCCATACATTGCCAAACATAACTCACAGAATTATTTATTTCAAACTGTAGTTAACATTCCCACAGCTGGAATTCAGGAATGCATCCCTAATCAGCAAACTGTATGAGAATACTGAAAATGTTGCATTCACTAAGGGTGGCTCCAGCAGGTGATATTCTAGTAATGACCTCAGTACATTACCAAAAAAAAAAAATTCCCTAAGACAAATTCTCTGAGTGAAATAGAAGGTGTTCCATATCTCAGAATCAAAATATCACCTCTTTCTGGAGCGAGTTTGTAAGGAGCCATCTTGCCTGCTAGACCAGGGAGGAAAAACAAGGCTGCCCCTCAAATCTTGAAACAAAAACCTAGAAACCTATTAAAATTGTGACAAGTTTTAGATATCAGTAAAAAGCTCATTAACATGAATCAAAGGCAAGAAAGAAAACAAGAAACTCAGGGAAAGAACTCAGGCATTACCAAGAACCATCCACATACACCCAAGGCAGATAGAACTCCACATAAAAGTCCTGGTTCTGGAACAGGAGTCTGGCTGAATGCCCTCAATTTGCTTACAGAACAGGAATTCATAGTGAAGAATTATTATTTTTCTTCTGAGCCTGCTTATGACATTTTACAACTCTGGGAGGATTTGAAAGAACTGGCATAATACACTATCTCCCAGATCACAAAAAATGGCGATATAAAAGAAAATGTGTATTGTTTAACAGCTTTAAGGAATTTCTGGAACTTTGAAATTTAAACTCAGTAAGATAATGTGATAAATTGCTCTCTTAGCAAATAAGCGGATTCCAGAGAATAACCATGGCCATGGTGCTTCTTGTAGTGGTTAAGGTTCAGATCTAGTCATAGCTCATAAGATGTTTAGCAATGATCTGAGGTTCTATGGCATCCTGATGATAGGTTTTTTCCCCCATCCTTGATGAACTTGGCTGAGGAAGCATGAGATAGAATGTCAACAGTTGCCTTGTTTTGAGTTCTGAGTGATCTGTATCATCTAGACCCAGAGCCACTAGACAGAGATTTCTTTGACTAAAAGGTTTGCATTGGTTTAGAATCTTAGACATACCCAAACTTTTAAAAAAATTATTATTCTTAGCTTGACTAACATCTTCTCAAGGAGCTCTCCAAGCACTTTTTCCCCTGCAAGTGGAGAAGATGTTAGACCTCTATGTGAATCTGGATCTCAGCCTTATATTGACCATCATGGCCCTGATCTTAGATTAATGAAGAACCAGCTAAGAGAGGAGCAGTGCAGACGATCTTCTTAAATCTACCATTCAGATCTTTTGGAAAACTTTCTAGCCCTGAGATACCTTCAGTCTGCATGTATAAACTACTTTGGTGAATAAGGAGTTTGCAGCTGATGTCTTGAAGGCTTGAACAAATGCTTCAATTGTTCTCCAAAGAGCTTTTTCTGCTCTTTTATCACATGGGTCTCTGGGCCTCCAGCCTCTATCTGGCAGGGTTGCAGCAGATAAATTAGAATGGTTAAAAGCACCTCTACCAAAGGTACTGAAATCTGCCCATAAACTTGCTGGGAAGTGAATATTGTTTATTTCCTAAATGATTCATTTGTTTAGTTTTGGCAAGGGAGACTCATTCCTTTCCCCATATTAGAAAGGGAATGGTCAGGGGCTTTAAAAGCTCTACAGGAAAAGCAAAGGGGGAGGGTCCTCCCCCTCCTCAGCTTTGTCCTTCAACTTTTGCCAGAATAAGAATAATTTTGGAGAAAAACCACATTTCTAGCTGGTTGGATATTAGTTCATCTTCTTTCTTGTTATCAAATTCATTCTAAATCCCCGAACAAACAGAAGCTGGAGAGGACATTTTTGTTTTGTTTTTCATCTGTTTCCTACTTCAAAATGAAGGGAAAATGTTTGTGCCACCAATTTTCAAATACTCCTGATTTCTTTGTCCATTTCCTGATCTTAGTCCAGAACAGTCCTGTTTTGGCTGTCCTGGACCTTCCATATTATTCTCATGTCTCCATAAAATGTAGGGCTCTTCACCTGCTCCCAATCTGAACCAGAGCCCAGTTTAAACTACGGGTCCCTGTGTTGAGAGCCTTCCAGGCAAACTCCCCAGTATCTGTCTTCCCTTATTTCTCCCTATAATCCTGTTGGTTCTTTATGTTTCTCTGAACAAGAATTTCTTTCAGTTTCTTGATTCAGAGTCATGGTCTCCAGGATCCAGGCCTTCAAGGACCTGCCCCTGTGATTCTGAAACCAGCTCCTTTCCTCCCTGTGGAAATTTGATGGCCTTTAAAAAGGGTTTAAAGACCTTTTTACTTGAAGAGGCTCAGTGAAGAGTTTATTCCATGCTACTTTAATTTATCTGATAGTTCTAGGTCAATACCTAATTTCAGTTATTATGGATATGTTTATAGGACACTTGCTCCTATACCATGGCATTGTTTTAAATATACCACAATGGTGATAGTTATTCAGTAAATTTAGCATCAGTTAATGTTCATATTGGTTTTCTGCATTGCTGCTAAATTATTCTGTACAAGATAACAACATATCTTGTTAGAACATTTTGCAACATTTTACAGGCTTGTAAACCTTTCCTCTACCTGAAAACGTTAGTCCCCTCTAGTGTCCAGTTTTTGTAATCATGAAATTGCTTATCTCTGTTACATCTTGTAAAAATCAAAAGAGAATCTATTTCCCATGTTTGTTCTTTATAATTAATTCCAAAATCTTATTGTAAAAGTTTCAATATTCCAATTTTATCTGGACCCTTAATCCGCTTATAACTTTCTAAGATCAAAATCTTGTATAGCTTTTTGTTGTTTATTTCAGATTCTTTAAATTCTTAAGCTTGTGATTAAAATTTTCTTTCATCTTCAGTTCGCCATACCTTCCCCTGGAAGTCCCTTATTCCTCATAATTCCAAGGAGGTACTGGGCTTCGTCACCCATTGCCTTAAAGAGAAATAAGATCTCAAGGTTTCCCACAGCAAGCTGGACTGGAAACAGCTAAACAGGCACTCAAGCAACTACTGTGTATAAAATGTGAGCCCTATTCAGGGTGCAATCATGGTTCAAATTTTTGTACCTCCTTTTCCCACCTGCATGGTAACAGGCAAGAAGCCATTTTCTTTTGGGCAGCAATGTCCCCCTGTTTTTTGTAATGGATCATCTGCTCTTTGCCTATGGCTGTGTGAACACATATCCTCACATCAGGTGACTGGAAACACAGGCAACAAAAGCAGGACAGGGATCAGCAAAAGGGACAACAAATTAGATGCTGCTAGAGTTTTTGATCTCGGGGATGGGGTTGTATCATCACCATTTCCACTGGTGGGGAAAAAAGTCTATAGTTACTTTATGTTTGCTGCACCCCTCCAATGGTGTGGAAAAATATATTTTGGAAATTGGTGCACCCCTCCAATGTTCCCAAAGCAATCTCCTGCAGAAGGGCAAAGACAAGGAACAGGAATGATGGTGGTGGTGGAAAAGGAGGGCCAGGAGAGTTGAAAGAAGAGGAGAGAGTTGTGCTTTTTTAAATGAAGCTAAATGAGCTGGCTCTTAGGAGTTCCAATCAGACTCAGCATGACCAATTTGGGAGGCAGGACACCTCTTTACAATGGCAAGGCAATTGAAGATTGGACTCTGCTTGTGTGAGAGCAGAATCAGAAGAATATATTCTACCTCTTCAGTGAAAAAAAATATTAATCTCCCTTCCAGTGCTGGATATTTATATTTGCTTTCTTGAATTTTTTGAGTCATGCAAACAAATCATACATTTGTTAACATTATACCTAAATATGTCCTTCTGTGACACACATATTGTGGATGGCAATTTACCACTTTGCCCTCCATCATTCTAGTCTTTCTTGGAGTTTTTCATATGCTTCTGTGCAAAACAGTGTCATGTCTTGAACAGCTTTGACAATCTATCTGAAAAGTCTGAATAAGACATTATAGCAAATATATGCCACAATATTCCACGGAAGGTTTCTTTTCTTTTCTTTTTTAAAGTGCCCTGCAGGCATACCTGAAAATTGTTAGTTCTCTCTCTTGCTCCATCTATATTTGTACATTTGTGTTTCTCCATAAATACTGAATGAGGATTACTAACAATAATGCCTTCTTTCTGCTCAATGGATGACATGAAAAATATTCTGCTCATGGGGGCTATCCATCCTATTTATCAACAGTGAGCAGAATCTGAATTCTCAGGCAGCTACAATGAATAGCCCTGTTTATATATTTGTGGGGATTAGCTACTGAATATTTTGGTGTAAGTGTGTGTGTGTGTGTGTGTGTGTGTTTGTGTGTGTTTATGCCTTAATCCATCATTGGTGTAATTTTTAGTATATTTTTCCCCAAGGATCCTGAAAATCTAGAGGGCAAGTGATCATTCTTAGTATTGTGATGCATAATATGTGTCAAAAAG